TACACACACCTCTCTCCTCCCACAGCTTCTACCTCGCATCTATTTTACTACAGGAACAGGCAGTGAACTTTCCTCCTAGAGTGAAGAATGGATATCAGCCAGCCAGCGGTGCTGGAAAAAAAGAATTCTGGACAGCAACACAAAAAACCCTTCCTCCTCTACCCCCAGGACTGATCAGGCAAGAAGATGGCATTCAACAGACAATGAAGCGCTGGAATAAGAAGAACCACTGATTAGCTGCATGTCCTGCTTTGCTTCTAACACAGGCACAACTCCGATGACTAGTCAGAGAGACTCTCATCTGAATATAAGCTGTCCCCGCCTCATCACTCTGATTACAGCTCTCCGAATGTCATAATCCCTCACAGCTTTCAGGGATTCATTCTATTGTACCGACAGACATCGCTGCCGGATTATCCTACCTGCTAAACTCAGATTCAGAAATCAGCACTGTCAAGTTAAAAATAAAAAACGAGAAATCCTGGTTCTGTCCTTTCCTATCTTCAAAGAGAGATTTCAGAAGCAAGCAAAAACCCCAGATTTCCTGAGATTTCTCAGTTACGGGACACCTGTACGTGACTCCAGAAGTGTGCATAATGTTCCAGAAGTCTTTCCAAAAAAAACCTGTGAACTCGAGACTCCAAGAGCAGACATGTGGTGGTCACATCCACGCCAAATCTACCAGTCAATACCAATAGCTAACCTAACTTAAAAGGCACCTCATTTTTTTTCAAAACAAGCCACCTGAAGTGTGTAGCACCCTTACTCCAGCACAGAGCTACTGCAAAAAAAACCAAACCCTGGGGTTGGAGCTGTCAACTGAATGACTAAACTGCGTGTGCTTTAGAGGTAGATGAAGGCGACAACAGCTGAACAGAGACAAGACAAGGCAGACGCAAGAGTGAGCTGCCATCTGCTCCAGATGGGCTGTAAGCTGATTTAGATGAGAAGCATTGCAGGGCAGGGACCTTATCTGTGCATTTGTCAAGAGCCTAGTGTACTTTGGGTGTTACATAAAGAAAAGGCAACAGGCAAGGAAAAGTGGGGAGATAATCAGATTAAGAGCAATTCTGCCCTCTGGTGGATGAGTCTGCAGTTTCCAGGGTGGGGAAAAGAGTTGGACTAGGACAAACTTTTTGTAAGAAAGGGGGAGAGAAAAAATGAGGGTGACGGAGCTGGATGCGTGTCCTGCATTAGGGCAATGGCAAGATGTGTCAATCTGTGCACATGCAGGTAAAGAGCACTGAAAGGGAACCCTGCGGCACATCAAGACAGAGTGATCACATTCTTGTGGCGTTAAATAGATTTTATAAAGCATTTGATTTTAGAAAATGAGAAAATGTTAATTAGACAAATGCCTAACCCTTTTAAGGTGCCCAACTGATGTTTTCCAGGAGTCAGAGCCCAGGGAATGGGGTGAAATCAATTCTCTGATCCAACAAGAGAAAGTCTACCATCTAGCGGGCAGTCCCAAGAACTGCGGGGGTTTTTTAGACACCTGGAGCACTTACCTTCTCCTAGAAACGTCATTGCTTAGCTAATAGAAATTAGTGTCTAACATTTGCCAGGTTTATAGAGAAGGCTTCTCTGTGGCAATGGCATCTCTCTGGTAAAGCCAAAAGTCACTCTAGGTTTGTACTGGTACCCATCATTGGCCTTCGCTGAAGGTAACCAATCCCCCAGTCACCCAAGCTCCGTGGTCTATAAAAGTGTACGGTCAATAAACATGCCTTGGAAAGAGAAAGAACACTGGGAACATTCTGTACTGACACAAGAACAGCAGCTTGTTCTTAGCAATCCAAACCTTACAACAGACAACCAGCAGTCACCTTCAAAGGGAGAGTAACCCCAATTACAAAGCAAAGAGATTTCAGATCCTGTATAATTTCTCCCTGCTACAGCAGACAAGGTTTGCTGGAGAAGAACTGCAAGGTCAGAAAGACTGAAGGTTTAATGTGTAAGAGAGTTCTTGGCCATCCCTGGCAATGTGGCTATAATGGGATAGACAAGAAACTAAGGGAATTCCTGCAAACCCAACAACATTACTCTACGACAGTCTAGTAAAAAAGAGAGCAGACACTATTAGGACAGAAATACTAGAGGAACACATGAGCAAGCGCACAGAAGACTGCAAATAGATTCAGAATTTGGATACAAAATGAACAACAGATATGCACTGGCATGGTCTGGTTACAGTAGAAGGGAGTAACTTATGTGTGCATCTCATTCTGTACACCGTTGGCACTATGCTTACATTATACAGGGCAAAAGCCACGGACTAGGAAGAACAGTGCAAAGGAACAGTGGGAAGACGATATAAAACAACTCAGGGCCAGAAGACAACATTAACAAGTCTTGCTTTCTACAGTTTAGGAAAAAAAGTACAAACCAAGGGGTTTGAAACGGTAAGTGAATCCAGAACAGGAGCCAGCAACCTACAGCCCGCAGAGCATTTGGATCTTGCCCATGGACCCATGGCTTTGGGTGCATCGTACCACCATCATCTAGATACCTGGAGCTCCAGCGGAAAGGAACTCTGCCCATGCCATGCTGCACAGGGTTGGAGAGTCGGGCTCTGGTCTTGTTGCACCACAGGTTGAGTGGCAAGAAAAAGTGATAGCTAGGGCTCAATGCCTGGCTTTCTCCAACCAGAGCTCGATCATTCCAGCCCCCATAACCAGAAAATGTTGCCAGCCCCTGGACTAAAATGCAGGAAGACCAGCCATTTAGTTTGTGATCTATTTCACCCAAAGATGCAGCGATGTAAGGCAACTGGCAGCCTGCAAGCTACCCAGAAGAGACAGGCAGAGATGTTTGCCCTGAATGCTCCAAAAAGATGGCCCCCTCCCTTCCAAATCTTTTAGATAAAATTACATGCCAAAAGGCCTGATCGTAAGCCAGTCTGACAGAGCCTGCTGGGACCAGGCACTCAGTGAACAGAAGCTGTTGCAAACAGACATAAAACAGAAGCCTTTTAGAGCTGCTGGAGGAACCAAAATACTATCCTCCCCAAAACGCCACAGGCTGCTTGCTGTTCTCTTGCATTCCATGTACAAACGAAGGAAATAATAAGAGGAGATGAAGGGACATAATGCATTCCCTTTGTTCCTGCTTATCTTGTTATTAGCAGACAGACAGCACATTGCACTGGCTCTTTGGGATAACCATCCAACTGTCCCCATTCTCTCCTACTCAGTGACTGGCAATTAACTCTCCTCAACCTTTCACTGGGGTATGCTTCAGGAACCTGTCTGGGACAGCGATCTCCCTTTATACATGTCCTCTCATAACCCTCACTGAAAATGAATATAATTCATGCTGTAAGAAGCTGGATTAAAAAAAAAAAAAAAAGACAGACATCCCCCAATTCCACTTGGTACAATTGCATGCAAAAAGGCGATTTTCTCCAGAGCAATTCCCTTTTCTGTATGAAGAGACACCCTTAATGGTGCTAAATAATGTGGCACAATCAAAACCCTAACACTTTGCAGCGAATATTCTGATTTTAAATGAAGAGGCTATTAGACTTCTACTGGAAAAGTCACTTGGCTCCATTTCCCTCCCAGTGTGAAATTACATCATTAAGCCTTTAACAGCTTGAGGTAAGTAAAAGCTTCCATGACACTGTCTGACAGAGAGCAAGTTTGGTGGGAAGAACTCAAAAGTACTTCGGTCTGTTCCCTGCCATTGAAGAAGTGCTGCAAGTCTGCACTACATCTAAACGTGGGAGAGAGAAAGTCTCAGCAGCGCTAACAACCTGTGTGCGTCTGGGAACAGGCAGCTCATCACAGACATTAACAAAAGAAAATAACGAGATAAGAAAAGAAGCATGCTACAGTGAAGGGAATCCTCTTTTACACAGTAATGTAATAACGTGCCCGAAACAGAATCACAAATACAAACTGTTCTGTAGTCAAAACAGAAATCATGTGAGAGCCACAGGGCTTTTAGAAGTGATTCCTGATATAGCCCTAAATTAAGAGGCTTCCTTCCATCATGAAACAACCCTTCCACCTCTTTGGCTACATCACCTACAAATTAAAAGAACTAACTGTGTTGTGATCCAGTTCAATGTTAAAGAAGTCAATCTCTTCACTTGCCATGTTAGACACCAGCCCTCTGTTGACTAGTGTAACTAGTGAAATGTTCTCTGTACCAGTAATACGGAGTTGATTCTGCCTCTATGAAATAGGTATAATTCTGTATCATATAAAATACAGGAAAGAATTGCTTTAGGTTAATTGCCTGGGAATGACAATGTACCAGGTTGTCTGAGGCTTTGTCAGACAGCAGCTACAACCACCAAGGAAAATGTACATGACCACAGACAACACATAAGTGTTGCCAGAGGCAGGGGACACAACTCCATGCCACTACCTCCATTTATGCCTGGCCCTGGCTCTAGCCAGGCTGCAGCCCCATGCCCCATTATTAGCACAGAAATCTGGGGGCAGGGCAATGCCCCTGTACTCCACAAGTCACCTATGTATACAGCCATGTCTTTGTGGCAGTTCTACCCAGCTCCACTGCAGCAGCTGTGCTGACAAGGTGTACCCTAGGAAAACACCAGCTGCTAAAGAAACCCTGGCAGCTGGCAGAAGGCACACCAGTGTCTCCAGGCACCTTCTGCCACTGCTAGACAGCAGAAGCAATTTCACCCTGCTCAGCAAAAGCCTTGTAATTCTGTCAGCAGAGAGAAGGGCTCTGTTCTGCAGAAGAGCTTTGGGTGCAAATAAACAAGAAGTTTTGCTGGCAGAACCAGGTAAAACTTTGCAGTGGAGATTAGATTTATTCACCATTCCCAAGATTTCACTATGAGATACTTTATACCCATAGGTATTTAGCATGGTATAACCGTATCTAGTGTCAAGAAAGAGAAGAGCAAACAAGTTTCAACAAAGAACAGAAAGCATAAACAGCCTGACAAGCTGCATCCATCAGTCACCAAGAGTGAAAGCAAGTGGTGCAAAGGTTTCACCCCATCGGCTCTCAGCACCTACCTGATATTAAGGCCCGTGCTCTGGTCCAGTTTCTCCCAGCTTTTCAACTTTCCCAGAAGTTTCTAGGGAGCAGGTCAAAAAAAAACAAAGTCATGAAGGAGACCTGAACAAATGCTCTGAACACTTCGACTCCTATGGTTTTATTTTACATTCCTCTCAACTTGGCCTTTTCCCCTTGTTTTCTGTCAACTTAATCACTTGCAGCACTGGAGCCCATTCTTTGACCCTCACACACATTGGTGACAGGGACATTAATCCTCCCAGTCTCCACAGTCACGCAGCACAGTGCACACTTCAACCATGCACCATTTTTATTATCTTTTCTTGTAAGTCAGATTCACCCCACTACACCTGATTACTGCAGAGCTGTGAGAAAAGAAAGCTATAGTCCCAACATCCTAGTTCTATGCAAGCTCCAGCATCAATTTTCTTCATAACCCTGCCTGCCAAAAGACAGGCTAGATTACCCAAGCCAGAACAATCCACGATGATAGTGCTTCACTCCAACAAAAGTCTTCATGCCCAAGTAACAAGTAAAGTAAGAATTCAATATCTGATCGAGTGTGGAATGAAAATGATGCTGCTGATGACAGCAAAACAAAAATTGGTTATTATAATGATTCAAGGCCATAACACATCCCTTCCAACAGCAGCAGTGATCTAAGTGTGTACTATACTATAGTAGGTTTCCAACTCATGTGTCATGTCACATCACCTCAGTACAGTGCTGAACATCCAAGAGGATATTCACAGCAGGGGCAAGGCAAAAAGACATAATGAAGATCTGCCCTTTCTTAAAAGCAATATAAGAAAAATAATGGATACAGCTCTGTGTTTTCCCCTCATAATGAATGCTCCCACATTCTACTGCTATTGGAGCATTTGTTTAGACATATGAATTACAGCCATCACTTAACCCTTAATTTCAAAGGATTCACCCTAAAGGACTCCCTGATCACCATCAGTAAATCTGATTATTTATACATGGCAAGTGTTCTTGGCTCCTCACCTCATTCTCCAATTCAAGAGCCACTAGGCTGGCCTGAACTTTCTCATAGCGTTCCAGTTTCCTCTGCAGACCTTCCACCTCCTCCTTGAGCAATCCATTGTTTTCTTTCATTTCCCTAAGGAAGAGCAAAGCCATTAAAAGCCACATAACTCAATTCCCTTATGCAAACATCCAAAAACACATGCAATTACAAGAAAGCATAAGGCACTGCACACACTGTGATACTCAGCTGACTCCCGTCTGTAACCTCAGCTACAAAGCAACTATTTCACACACTGCAGCCTTCACTGGACTGAGTTCTTCTGATCTAAAATGTCATCCTTGTTACGTCCAAATAAATTAAAGTTTCATATCCACTGATCGGTCAAAACAGCATTTAAGTTAACAAGGCAGCCACCAAGCTATGCTCCAGAGAGGCACAAACAGTGAGTTGGAAACTTGGCAAAGGTTTGTGCTGTTAGAAGTGTGTAGACAGGAGGATGTTAAACATGAAGAAATGTTTATTTCAATATAGATGGTGTTGGGGTTGTAATGAGGCTAATTAACCACAAATGGGTAAAGAAAAGTTTAAATGAGTGAGGCCCACCCAGATAGTAAGTCTCTTATGTCAAATATTTCTAGCCATGCCTCCTTGGACTGTAACAGCTACAAGCCAATGGCGGAAAGCCAGTGCAGGGAGAAGCTTCCAGGCCTGTGGGACAGTTTCTGGTAGGAGAAGCAGCTTTCTAGTCACGTACTGCCCTGTGGAGTGCTGTGGTGTTGTAGGCAGAGGAGGAGGACATGTGACAAAGACAGAGGCTCTTGTTGCTGCAGAACTAAGGCAGGAAGTGGCCCACAAAATCCACACACCACAAGAGGAGGAAAACCTGCTTGGTCAACCTTCACAGGGCCCGGGGAATTAATGGGGACACTAATAACACCACCCAGTGGAGTGAGAGACTAACGCAGAGTGTTTTCATGTGCACAATGAGTGAGCGCTGCTTGGACTGCTACCCACTAAAGGGACTGCATAAGCAGTCCTTGGACTGAGCAGAAAAAAGAATCCAACCCCATTCTGCCACAGGGTATATTACTCAGATTGTCTGCATCAAAAATGGGACCTAATTTCACAACCTACATACACAGAGAAGCTTCTAGAGTTATGAAGACACTGGACAGTAAGCATCAACACACATACCCCAAGAGAAAAGTCAAATGATCCCACTTTGATCCCAACCTTTGGGTAAAGGAAATCTAGCAAAACCAGATGCTCAAGGACTATAGATCATATGATTTTCTTGCTTTACATAAGATTGAAATTCAGCTTCCTCTGAGAACTTGCTACTCTCAATCACAGCACATAAAAGCAATACAAGATTACTCTATGGTACGGGAGAGATGAGTTTCAAAAAGTGTTACCATTTCCAAAGCCTGCAGCCAGGTCTCAGAGGCAGCCACATCAGAGTTCATGAACCTCAGCAGCAAGGCTTTATCATTATGTGAACTCAAGAGGGCTTTAAAACAGCAGAGGAAATACTGATCTGATGGTGACCACGCAAGGAACTGAAATCCTTGACAAGTCATAAGAGATGGTAGAAATGCCCAGTGATGGAAGGGAGGACCTTTCACAAGTCCACACAGGAAATGTTTATTATCAGCATACTGAATTTCATATTTCTCTCTAATCCCCTTTTGATCCAAAATGAGACGGTAAACCTCTCATGCACAAGCACAATGATCAACCCTCCATTTATGAAGCCCTCAATCAGACCTGTTAAAGGGGAGATTAACTAGATCCCTCCAAACCACAACTGTGGAAGCATCACAAACCTGCCTCAACTCATACATAGTACTCATAGAAGACCTATACATTTACAAGCTCTACAGAAACTTCCTTTCACAGCATCCCTTAATGGAAGTCTCCTTTATAATACGCTACCCTGCAGGAAAGGGCTTTTCAATCTCTGCTCAGTGCGACAGTAAATACTGGGGGGATAGACAGGAGCAGCAGGAAGTCATTCTTGACAGATGCTGCCATACTGGAGGCAGATCTTCCCTTCTCACCTGAAATAGGCATTTTCCTCCCTGAGCTGGCGCAGCTCTCGCTCCATCTTTGGGAATCGGGCCAGCTCTGCTTTCATGTTCTTCACAATTGCAGCATCTTGTTCCTGCAGGGAAAGCTTCTGCTCCAGATCCTGGAAGGCAAGAAATGACAAGGGAACAAGACAAGTGAGCTTAATTCAGGAGGGCTCAGGGCAACCTCTCCACTGGACTGCTAAACTTGTCCAAATGCTCTTTTCTTTGCTACTCGCATTTGCACCAACAACATCAGAAACAGGCTCCGCTAGCATTTACAGACCATCTGTCCTCTCCCGCACACTTCAATTCCCTACTAGCCAAGGAGTTACGAGCCAAATGCTCCGTTTTTCTCAAACCCTACAAGGTAAAAAAATACACAAGCTCCAATGGACTTGAAAAGTTGCAGATGAAGGGAACACACATGCAAGGGAGACAGAGGGCATCAAGTAGCCCCACCTTTTTCATGTAGTGTAACAGCAACCACTGTTTCCTACAGCAAACTAAGGAAAGGTTTATTCAGAACAGCACTACAGTGCACTGCCTGCTTTCCCCACCCCAGCCCTTTAAACCATGCTTCCTTTCTTTGAAGGTTTTTCTTTTTGTACCCATGAAACACTGGCAATGCTGCTTTCAGCATGGCTCTCTGCAATGCCTACCAAAAGAAATTCCATAATAAGCACTGCTCAAAGAATGGCTTAGTTTCCTCTACCTGTTTCCCCCACACCCACCATGCCTTATATCAATATAGGAATGATTCATG